GAGGGAGAATGGCTTCCCAGTGCCAGAGGGCAGGTCTAGATTAGACATTAAGAAGACATTCTTGGCTGTGAGAGTGGGGAGGCCCTGGCACAGGTTTCCCAGAGCAGCTGTGGCTGCCCCATCCCTGGAAGTGTCCAAGGCCAGGTTGGACGGGGCTTGGAGCCACCTGGGCTAGTGGAAGGTGTCCCTGCCCATGGCAGGGGGTGGAACAAGGTGATCTTTAAGGTCCCTTCCAACCCAACCCATTCTATGATTCTGTGACCCTGTGAACAAGCATCTCTCCTTGTTCCCTGAAGACTTTCACACAGACTTTCACAAAGAATTTGCTGCTTTCAGCCCCCCCGTTTGTCATTAAACACTTGGTGCAGGTAGTGCCCAGCGATCTCATAGCTGCTCTGTTACTGTTACTGGGGCTTTCAGCAGTTCACAGCAGAGCTGACAAATACTGCTGCTGTTTTGGGAGGTGGATTCCAGTGTAAGAGACCAATACAGCCAGCAAATCCAGTCATGTCACGCTTCCTGCCTTAAGGCATGTTGATAATCCTGGGAGGAATAGCCTCAGTTACACATGGCTTCGATGTCTTAACACAAGAACCTTTCCATGATAGTCCCCCGTGTGTTCCACAGCTTCTCCAGTGAAGTGCAAGTGCCCAAACTGCCCCTGAGGCTGGATGAGGCACCTGGGAGCAGAGGAAGTTGTTTGGCTTCCCGCTGCCAGCCAAGTAGGAAGGAGAGTTAAACCTCTCTCCTGCATTCCAGTGGAGGTTTGTTTTCAGCCTCAGAAGCGTGGCAGATGGTGAGGGTTGTTGTCTTGGCCGCAGGCGATGTCCCCTGACGGGGAGGCCATTGTCACAGGAGCCGGGGACGAGACCTTGCGCTTCTGGAACGTCTTCAGTAAAACTCGCTCCACAAAGGTAAGGCCATGGGGGGGGTGGGGGCGGCTGCTCGGGAGGGGAAACTCAGGGAATGTTGGCTCTGCTCTGCTGCCTTCCCTCTGATCCCTTCACTGCATCCTGCAGATCAAGGGCCGGGGGCAGGGGAGGGTTCAGCTTTGCTGAGATTTAATGGATTTGTCATCAAATGAAGTAAAAGGTCACCCTGTGTGCCCAAGGCAGTGTGACACAACATCCCTGTCCAGGCTGGTCCAGGGCTGCTGAGCAGCGTTTTGGGGGGCTCACCCTGAGCCCACCATCTTCCTGCTGGTGTGTGGCTGTGAACTGAGCCCTCAGGGGTGACAGCAGGCTGGGACCTGAGGCTGTTCAGTCTGGAGAAGAGAAGGCTCTGGAGAGACCTGAAGCCCATCTCAGTTCCTAAAGGGGCTCCAGGAGACCTGGAGAGGGACTTTAGACAAGGCATGGAGGGACAGGACAAAGGGGAATGGCTTCCCACTGCCAGAGGGCAGGTCTAGATTAGATTTTAGGGAAAAACTCTTCCCTGTGAGAGTGGTGAGGCCCTGGCACAGGTTGCCCAGAGAAGCTGTGGCTGCCCCATCCCTGGAAGTGTTCAAGGCCAGGCTGGACAGGGCTTGGAGCAGCCTGGGCTAGTGGAAGGTGTCCCTGCCCATGGCAGGGGGCGGGATGAGATGAGCTTTAAGGTCTCTTCCAACCCAAACCATTCTGTGCTTATCCTATGGCTCCTTACTAAACTTCTTAAAATAGGGTCTTGGATGGAAATGGGGTCATGGATGCTGCCAATGACAGTTCATCATCACCAAAGGCGGGTTGTGCCCAGTGTTCCGAGAGCTTTTCTGGGTGCCTGGCAGAGGGATCTGGAGGATGGGGCTGGGGGAGCAGGCACTGCTGCTGGGGGTCCCCCAATTGCTGCCTGCTCTGGGGCACAGCTGCCTGCAGAGCTGTGGGAATGGCACACTGGCCTGCTGTGCTCCTTGTTATCAGTTGGAAGTAACCCATGGGAATATTTATGGTGTTGGACTTCGGATGGTGAGCTGGGATCGTGCCCTGAGCTAGAGATACCTCCCCAGGTTAAAACCAAACCAACCTAAAAGCATGGGGAGTTACAGCTGTGGAGGACTTACCCCCTGCTTTGTCTTCTCAGGAGTCTGTGTCCGTGCTTAACCTCTTCACCAGGATACGATAAACCCTCTCCCTGCACCCCAGGAACCTACAGCCTGACATTCCAGGATCAGACCACTCCCTCGGCCTGCATGGACCCCCGGAGCCCAGCCGAGGGGAGGGAGAGCTGAGGGACTGGAGGAGGACCCAGCTCAATAAATACGTGCTTGTGATCCACGCTGGGCAGTACTGGGGATGGGGTGGGGAGGGGAGGGAACTGCCAAAGGTTTGTGGATTCATCTTTCATAAAGGGAAACGGGTACAAGAGAAATGTTAACCCAGCATCCTCCAGCCCTCCAGATGGAACCGGGGAGGACTCGTGTGACATGGACCACTGAGACCGGACTGAGGCCATCCCCACGGCCGTGGTGTCCCTCTTGGGAGAGAGGAGCATATCCTTGGCGCTGTGGGAAGGGGTTTGACGTGCTGCTCTGGGTCCCTGTGTCCTTGGTGACATCTCTGGAGGCAGGAGCCAGCCAGACTGGGCCGGTACCACTGGTGCAAGTGGACACGGCTCCAGCTGGGCATCGAAGGGCTTTGTTCATAGCCTGGCATCCCCATTCCAGGAAGAAACTGGAGAACTGCCTATTTTCCTTTGTTTTTTTCTTTATTTTTTCACCCAGACAGGTACTGTAGTACTTGACATAATCATTCCCATGAAACAGCTTGATTTTTCTGGCGTGCTTGGCAGCTGCCTCTGAACAAACACGTTTTGGGGCTCTGAACTTTGGAGGAGACTTGGAAAAGCTTCACCTCCGAGGGAGCAGATTCGGGAAGTTCTGCAGGTGCTCTTGCATGTTTTGGGCTGATCCTGTGAGTTACCAGAGAGGAGAAACAAGGACTGTATAAAAAAAGAAACCTAATCCCCCCGTGCATGTGGAGCTTCCCCCAGTGCCTTGCTCCAGAGTCTCCCTGAGGCCAGAAGCAGCTGGGATATGTTTGAGAGCCAAAACAACTCCTGAGGATCTGATTGCTGGGGCGAGCAGGGCCTCTTCTGGCTGGAAGAGGGGTTCTAAAGCAGGGCTGCATTGTTGCTTTTTGCTGTCTCCAAGTCCCAGCCAGGGCCCTGCTGTCAGATTTTGGGGTGTGGTTTTTAGGTCATGTGGGACGAGAGTTCGGCTGGTGTTGGAGCCCGTGGGGTGACACAAACGCTTGTGTGTGTGAGTGTTGCTTTTAATTTAAGAGGAGCTGTGAGGCTGCACAGCCTGTCCTGTCTGACGTGTGTATGTGCCTGCCCTGCCCGGGCCCTGCCTGCCTCCTGCCCTTTCCCAGCACTGTTCCCGTGTGGAATTCCCTGGCTGTGTATATAGACCTTGCCCTCTCTCTGCAGATTACGTAGGTAATGCTTTCCTCTCTCTTTCTTTGTTGATTTTCCTCCCCTCCCTTCTTTCCCTAAAACCAGGCAGTAGGAATACGATTGCCTTTCCCCAGTACCAAAAGTATCCTTAGGGTGAACTGGTACAGCCTCTTCACCACAGCCTTGACCACACGTGCCATCCATCACACCAGTGCCTGGATCAGGCTCTTGGTGCTGCCCCCGTGTTGCAGCTGCTGGAGGCACTGGTGAGGAGCTGGTGTGCTGGGAGCCCCCCACACAGCCTGGCAGCTCTGTCTCCCAGGCCCACAACCCACCTTGTCATCTCATAGTCTTACTTGCCACCAGAATGGATTTTCCATGGAATTTCTGAAACACAGTTTGAACACAACTGCTTTAGTGTAGCTCTGGCTGTGGGATTTGGGGCTTGGTGTGAAGTGACACACACACCCCCCCCCGGTCTCTCTCGTGTTGCTTGTTCCTTTCACAGGCACTGTTCCACATCACTGTGGGTTGGGAGCACCCAGGAGGTGTTAAATTGAGTCAGATGATTAAGTTGGGGAGTGGGTTTGAAGGAAAGGGTCACCTGCAGCAAGAGGTGGTCTGTCATGGGTGTCATCACCTGGGAGCAGGGCTGTGCACAGGGGGGCTGGGGGGCTGGTGCCTGTGCTGTGGATTTTCCTGTCTCTTGTGCATTGCCTGCTGCCAAAATCCCACTGTGCAGACCCCCGGGACACACTGCTTTCTCCTCTGGGAAGGAGTATTCGCTTGGGATGGGGGCACACAGGAGGTCTCAACCTGGTTTGTGCCTGTGCTGGAGCAGGAGAGAGTTGGGTCCCAGCTGGAGCACAGGGTGAGAATGATGCTGGTGGGGCTCCCCAGTGTTCCAGGGCTCCTGCAGGGATGGATTTGCCTCTCAGCCTGTGATGTGGGAACTTCCCCAAGGAGCCCCAGGAGTTGCTGGGGTGGGGGGCAGTGCCAGGTGGGCACTGCAGCCTCTGCCCAGTGCTCCCAGCTGCGCCCCAGGATGCTGCAAAGCAGGGACATCCCCTTGTCACTGTCCCCCACCACTGTCCTCTCTGGCCAGGGTCTTTCCCAAACTATGTCTTGCTTCCACATCCCGCTTTTCTCTGCCTTGGGAGCAGGATGGCTCGTGGTGGCTTCTCTCATTGCACTTGGCAGCGAGGGCTGGCAGTTCCCAGGCCAGGGCTGTTCTGTGGCCACACGTGTTGCCCTCGTAGCACGGCAGGAACAGGCTGCTCACCCTGCCCTGGCTGCCAGAGCCCAGCACAGCCACCCTCCCTCCCCTGCTCCCAGCTGCCGAGGCAGGATGGAGCTCCCAGTCGTGTCCGTGTGCGGGTGGGTGTGTGCGTGGGTGTGTGCATGCAGGTGACACTGTGACACAGTCACTGGCTGAGGCTTCAGCAGGGAAAAGGGCAGAGCTGAGGTGGTGTGTTGGGGTGTGACCTGTGAGCGCTGACCCGGGCACAGGATCCTCCTGTGCTGGTGACAGAGTCTGCGGCCTCGTGGCGTCGGCGTATCCCAGGTGTCATATGGTGGAAAAAAACATGGAGTGTGCTGTAACTTTTCCATGTAAAGCAATCGAACTGGCATTAAAGAGGTTGTGAATTTATTGGGATTGGGCTCTGTGGCTCCACTTTGATTCTCCGTGGCGAGGGGTGCAGTGAGTCCCTGGGCCCCCCGGGGTCCGTCCCACAGCTGCTCTGCAGGTACCAATTCCTCGGTATAGCTCTCACCTGAGGTTTATTGCTCCCAGCTGCCTGCTCCTGTTTGCTTTCCTGCTTCTGGGAAAAAGGAGAGGCACAGCCCCCCCCTCCCTGCCTTATGCCCCTCAGCATGGACAAGGAGCTGGCAGTGCCTCGCTTTCCCCACCTTGGTGGGTTGGGGAAGCCCCAAGGCTCCTTCCAGCCCAGAATGGGACTGAGCTTCAGGGCTTGGGGTGGATCCTGCTGTGCCCCCCAGCTCTGCTCCCACCTCCAGTGCCTGTGGGACCCCATTGTCCCCATCATGTGCCTGGATCTCTGCATCTCCTGCAGCCCCTTCCTCTGGCAGGTGGGCCCTGTCCTGGGGCAGGGTAAGAGCCAGGGACCTGGTTGGCTGCAGGGTCCTGGGGCTCCCTGCTACACCACCCCCTTCCCCTCTGTTCCCTGTTGTCACCTGCACCTGGGGGCTGCTCAGGGTCTTCTGCTGCTCCCTGGACCCCCAGGACATCAGCACCTGGAGCTGCCTCCCCCCACCAGCCCAAGCCCCTGGTCCTGCTGCGTCCTGGCCCATTTTGGGGAGCAGGGGACTGGGGGGACTGGTTGCTGCTTGTCCTGTGGCATCTGGCCCAGCAGATAATAAATATTAATAAAGGTTTTATTAATTTTTATTAATAAAATAGTTTGTTTTCTTTGCCCCTGCATTGCCTGGGCCCAGGCCCCTCTGCCTGCCCCTGCCGGGCAGGGAGGGCTGGGTAGGGGGTGGCCCCAACCCCTCCCCATGTGCTGCTCTTTGTTCCCTCCTGCTGCTGCTCAGGGTGGGAGACACAGGGGGAGTGAGATGGAGCCCCACACCCCCTCTGGGCTTCCCAGGCACCGTGGGGGGCTGGAAGGCACTTGCTGATGGAGCCCCCTGAGAGGCAGAGGAAGGGGTTGGGGCAGCCCCTGCGCCCCCTGTCCAGGGCACCAGTGATGGCAGGTCCTCACTGGCCTCACGTTGTCCTGTACCTGGGCAAGGGGAGGCAGGCTGAGGGGGGTCTCTGCTGGGCACAGGGGACCCCCCACCCCGGTCACTCACTGCTGTGGTGGGTTGGGGTGTGGCTGAGCCCCTGCCAATGCCAACTGCTGCTCCAGCTCCATGATGCGCAGCCCGATGTACCCCGAGGACACCAGCAAGGCCACCATGCTGGGGGACAGCCAGTGTCACCCGGGGGGGCACAGTGGGGGGCACAGGGCTCATGCAGTGCCACAGCCAGGCTCTTGTGTGCTCGCCCTGGGGACGGGTGTCCAAGGGGGGAGTAGAGGAACCGGGGGCTGCCAAGGGGGATGAGGACTGGGGGTGTCCTGAAGCCCCAAGGTGTTTGAGCAGGTTCTGGGGACTCACAGCAGCAGGTAGATGGTGATGATGATGTTGAGAAGGCTCAGCTGGGGGTTCATCCGGGACCAGAGTGCAGCAGCCCAGGCCCAGAGTGTGGTGTGGGGTTCCCCTGCCAGGACAAGGCAGTGTCAGTGCCTCTGAGACCCCACGGTGGGCTCTGCCAGAGCTGAAGTCTCAGCAGCATCTCCCTCCCCAAGCCCCTTGACCCACTCCAGAGGCTGCGTGTCCCTGCCAAGGGCACCCATTCGCTGCTGCTGGGAGTCAGCAGGGCCGCCTTGTCATCCTCCTCCTCTGCTTCCCTTGGCCTTGGGCTTTGTTCATCTGTGGGTGACCAGGAGGCATTCATGAGTGTCCCAGGGAGAGGACTGGGGGTCCCAGGGGCACACAGAGAGCCACAGAGAGCTAATCTTGCACTCCCTGCTGCTGCAGGAGATGCTGGTTAGGGGGCTGAGGGCTGTGTGGTCCCCCCAGACCGTGTGTGTCCCGGGAGGGGGAGCAGAGCCCAGAGGGGCCAGCAGGGCAGGGACATGGCTGAGGACACAAGCAGGGCTGGGACCATGCAGGGGGTGCACCAGGGTGGCTGCTCACCCAGGGATTCGTGGAGGCTGTTGGGCTCTGGGGTGCTCTGCTCCAGGTCCGACTGGCTCGAGGTCTGGAAGAGGAAAAGCCCCAGCCATGGTGTGTGTCCCCAAGGCACCCACCCCACGGCCATGGGGACAAGGGCAGGACCTGATGACACTCATGAGGAGAGAGCTCTGGGGGTCCTGGGGCCTGCACTGCCCCGGGCTGGGGCTTTTCCACTCCACACTTCCCCCCAGAAGCCTTCCCAGGAGCCACTGCCCCCAGCCCACCCCAGTCAGGGGGCTGGGACCGGGACCACCCCTCCCTCTGCTGCATCTCCCTGCATGCAGGCCCGCCGTTCCCCGGCCTTACCGGAGTCTTCTCAAGGGTTTCCTCGTTGTTCACCGAGTCCCGAGGGCTCTGGCCGCTGTCCTGGACAAGGAGAGATGAAGGGAGGTGCCCTGCAGTGGATGGACGGAGCTCCCCCCACCCAGCCCCCGCGTACCTGCAGCTGTTTGCAGACAGACCTCAGGAGCTGGTACGTGGCCTCTCGTTGGCGCAGCGACACGAAGAGGAACTGCCGGGGAGCGGGGAAGGGGCTTTGCACTGGAGCTGCTCCCTCGGTCACAGCCCAGGGCCCTCGGGGACCCGGACACCCCAAACAGCCCCGGGCGGAGCCGCCCCCCCCCCAGCACCGCCCCCGCTCTCACCTTCTCCCCCTGGGCCGTGCGGATGCTGAGCGCGTTGGGCACCAGCAGCGCCGTGTTGGTCTTTTTGAGGGCTGAGATGGAGGCGACGGGGACCACGGCCTGGGCCGGGGGGCACGGCCAGTGTCACCAGTGTCACCGTGTCCCCAGCTGCCACCCGCGACCCCGCCACAGCCCCGCCCCCGCCCCCAGCCCACCTTGATGTCCTTGAGCAGGAGGCTGGAGTGGAAGCAGACGTGTCGGGAGGACACGTAGAGGCGGCCGTGGTAGGGCACCTCTCTCTGCCAGGCGCACGGGAAGCAGCCCAGCAGCGCGTCCCTGCCGGCGAGCTCCCCGAAGGCCCGGCGGTAGCTGCTGTCCCGTTTGCTCAGCTGCGGGAGGTCGGGGTGGGGGTCGGTATCAGGGGCTGCTCAGGGGCATCCCAGAGCCCCCCTGCTCTGTCACCACCTCTGCCCTCTCCCTCGGCCCCCGCCCTCAGAGAGCATCGGGCCGGGACCACGGCACTGGGGCCGGGGTTGGGGTCCCCCTCCTCGGCCCCGGCACCCCGAGACTCACCGCGGGGGATGGGGGTCCCTCCCCGCCTGTGGCCGCCAGCCCCGTGTCCTTGCAGGGGGAGTCATAAGTCCTGGATCTGGAAGGGAGCAGCAGGTGGGGGTGACCCCGGGGGCACAGCCCCAGCGGGAGGTGGGGTTGGGGTGCAGGTACACCCTCGAGGTGCAGCACCCACCTGGAGAGCTTGGGTTGCCCCAGCCGGGCGCTTCCCGTCTCCTCCAGGCTCTGCCACTGCTTCTCCCCCAGCACCCCCCGGGCGCTGCGCCTCAGCTTCCCCGGCATGAGGGATGAGCCCGACGGCTGGGGGAGAGACGGCAGGTTGTGGGGACGGTCCGTCTCTGCAGCGCGGCAGCTCCCAGGGTCACCAGCCTGTCCCTCCGCCGGGGCTCAGGCCCTGCTGGGACCGCGACAGCAGAACTCACCTGGTCGCACGGGCCCCTGGCTCGCCCCACGCTGGCATGTGCGGGCTGAGACCCCCGAGGGCAGCGGGGGCCGCGGGTGACGGGGCTGGTGACCCCCGGACCGGGAGCTGCTGGGGGTGGTGACACCTGGACCGGGAAGTGCCGAGGGTTTGAGACCTTCGGCGCGGGGGGTGCCGACCCTGGGCCACGGGCGGTGCTGGGTGTGGGGGGAGTGTGGCCGGGCTGGCTCCGGAGGGGACGGGGAGGCGGCTCTGGTCCCGGACCCACGCGCGGCCGCAGAGCCCCGTCCCGGGCACCCCGTGCCCGCCCCGCTCGGTACCTGCTGGTGGGCACTACCGGGACCCCCGTCCCGTCCCGTCGGGGCTGTCCCGCTCCTTTCAGCTCCGTTCCTGCTCCGCGGCCGCTGCCGCCTCCTTCTCCTCCTCCTCCTCCTCGGAAGGGCAGCGGGCGGGGCCGGGCGGCCGCGGCAGGTTCGAAGGGAGCGGCCGGGGCAGCCCAGCACGGGGAACCCCGGGGCTGCACGGCGCGATCACCAGTTCGGCTCCCGGGGGACTGCGGGCCTTGTCCCACCACCCTGCCCGCTGCCCCCGGCACCGAGGGGTTGTGCACGGGATCCCCCCGGCACTGGGTGGGACCCTCACGGGCAGCCGGGGCAGTGGGAAGGGGCACTGGGGGTTCTTTCCCCGCAGCTGGAGCTCTGCCCACCCCGGGGGTGCCCCGGCCAGGGAGCGGCACGGAGCAGGACCCCAGCCGGGGAGGGGATGGGAGCATCCCCAGAGCTGGCTGTCCCATGTCCGCAGGCTGCCCGGTGTCCTCGGTTGTCCGGTGCCCCCCGGCTATCCCCGTGTGCCCCTCTGTCCTGCTGTCTCCCCTGGACTGGGAGGTGCCGGAGGTTTGACACCCTCGGCGCGGGGCTGTCTCGTGTCCCCCGTCTGTCCCCTGTCTCCCCCCTGCACTGCCCCGAGTGGGGACCCCTCTGTGACGCAGCCCTCGGGGCAGGGTGTGTGCAGGGAGGGTCTCAGCTGCCCCAAAAACGAGCTGCAAATGCATCCCCCTCCCAGGTAGTGCTGACAGTCGGAGCAGCACAACCTGCAGTCCTATGGCGTTTTGCCATTCTATGGACACCCCACAATCCCATGGCACCCCACAGCGTTGCCCGCCCAGTGCCCGCTCCTTGTCTCCCCAAGCCCAGGCAGTGCTGCAGGGTGGGTCTGCCACTCACCCCGGGGGTCTCTGCTGTTGCGACAGGCGACCTCCAGAGGAAAGTGGGGTGGGGGTGAGGACCTGGCTCTGCTTGGCCTCACCCCCTCGGGCACTGGGGCAAGTGCCAAGGCCACGGGACCCAGCCCAGCTCAGCCGCTGCTCTCTAGACCGTGGCTGGAAACGCCCTTCCCACAACCCGTGCGGCTGCGGGAACAGCCATAAACCAGGGACGGCCCCGGGACAGCCCGATGTAGGTGACAGCGTGGCCGGGGGACTGCACTCCGCGCCCCCCCTTCATCCCCCAGGACCCCGTTCAGTGCCCCACACACGCTGTGTCACCAGCTGACAGGGTCTGTCACACCCTGTCACAACCCCCCAGCCCCCTCCCCAAACTGCTCACCCTCCACTCACACCCACACCGTGTCCTGGTGTGCACACACCGACACCCCCACACCACCCCCCATCCCTCCCGGCAGCGGCTCCATGACAGACCCATCCCTGGGGTGTCCACCCAGCACAGGGACCTGTGAGGGCAGACAGAGGGGCCCTGGAGACCTTGAGCCATGGAGCCAGGCTGGGAGAGCTGGGGGGGTCACCCGGAGAAGGGAACGCTCTGGGGAGAACTGAGATCCCCTTCCAGAACCTAAAGGGGCTCCAGGAGAGCTGGAGAGGGACTTGGGACAGGATAAGGGGGAATGGTTTCCCACTGCCAGAGGGCAGGGTTAGATGGGATATTGGGAAGGACTTGTGGCTGTGAGGGTGGGGAGGACCTGTCACAGGTTGCCCAGAGCAGCTGTGGCTGCCCCATCCCTGGAAGTGTCCAAGGCCAGGCTGTACGTGGCTTGGAGCCACCTGGGCTAGTGGAAGGTGTCCCTGCCCACGGCAGGGGTGGAACAACCCAAACCATCCCACGGGGCTGCGCACGGGCTCCTTCCCCCAGCCCCTGCTCGCAGTGTGCACACACAGCACATCCCTGCACACGCGTGGGCACGTGAACACATATATGGGCACACACACATATATGAGCACACACACACACGTGCACACACGAGTGAACACACATGCACACACACGTGCACACACGAGTGAACACACATGCACACACACGTGCACACACATATGTGCACACGCGCGCACGCGCACACACTCCAAGTATTGCCAGATACACGCCCCGCCCCCACCGCCCCAAGGTCCGCCTTCATTGGTTGCTCTGCCCCGGGGGGCGGGACAGTGGCACACGAGCCAATCCGGTTTCTTCAGCGCCGCTCCGCGGCCGCCATTTTGTGTGCGGGCGCGCCGCCATGTTTGTTGAGGGCGGCCATCTTGCACCCCCCTGCGCCCCCTCCCCGCGGGACCAGCGCTGGGGAACCCCCCAAACCCCAAACCCGCTCCTGCCCCACCCCCGGGGCCCCAGGGCCGAGCCCACCCCCAGCCCAGGGGCGTCGGTGCTGCTGTTGTTGAGTTTTCCTCTCCTTTTCCTCCTCCTTTATAAAGTGCGGTTTGTATATACTGACCTTACAAAAGCAGGTTAAAACCTCAGGCCAGGCCCCCCCCCCGTGAGCTGGGGCTGCCCCGTCCCAGCCCAGGCCCTTCCAGTGTTCGGTGTGCAGGTGGCAGGTGACATCCTGCACCAGTGACACCTTCACCAGGGACATCCTTCATCGGCCCCAGGGGGACAGGCTGTGGGGACATGAGTCCAGTGCAAGGAGACAGGGCGGGGCTCAGTCACTCCCCTCCCCAGAGGGAGTCCCCAGCGTGGGGGACCTTCCGGACTCGGAGTGTGGCACCGCGGTGGCCGAGGATGTGGTGGCCGAGGACATGGCCCTAAGGACGTGCTGGCCGGGGACATGGCCCTGAGGACATGGTGGCCAAGGACATGGCCCCATGGCTCAGTTGACGGTGCCATTCTGGCCCCCTCCCTCTGCGCTCTCAGTCCCGGTGTCGGGGGTCCCAGCTCCGCTCAGCCCCTGCAGCCCGACAGCACCTGTAGGGAAGGGAGGGAGTGACAGGTCAGGAGCCATGGCAGCACAGCGTGACCTGCCACGTGCTGGCCTGGCCTCTGGACTCTCCTGCCACTGGCACCAGGGGCCTGACCCAGCACATCCCCAAGCAGCACAACGGGTCAGTCCTGTCCCCCCACCCCTAAGAAGGCACTGGCACCCAGCTGGCAGCAGCACCGGTGCCAGGGTCCCTGGCTTGGCAAAGGTCACCCCAGCCCCACACGTCTCCCCAAATGTCTCCCACGTTTGCTGCCAGCACGCAGAGCTGCTCCCATCACCCCTCCGGGCCCCAGCGTGGCCATGGCTGGGCTGGGCTGGGCTGGGCAGGGTGGTTCTGCCAGGCTGGGGGCTCTGCCCCCCAGGAGGGCACAGCAGGCAGACACAGCCCTTGCTCTGGGGCAGCAGCAGCAGCAGCAGAAGCGGGACAGTGGCCCTGCCCAATGTCCTACCATGAGGGTCCCCCCGCGAGCGTGGCCGCAGCCAGCCCGGTCACAACAGGGTGATCACAACTGGGGCCATCTGCAAAGACACTTCGGCTTTAGCCCAGGCTGGCACTGGCCACGGGGCTCCCCGTGCCCCCAGCACTGTGTGGGCCCCCTCAGTCCTCGGCCCCACTCACGGTAGTGGACGTGGATGGGCCACACCATGATGCAGCAGAGCGTGGCCACGGCAGCCACGGCGATGCCGCCGGTCACCAGCACCATCACCCAGCGGTAGAAGCCGACGCAGGCGGAGCAGCACAGCTCAGTCCTGGGGGGACAGGCAGGGACAGGGCTGGGGGACAGCGGTCCCATGTCCTGGGAGTCAGGACTGGCTCACACTGGGATGTGAGGGAAAGGAGAGAGGGTGGCAACCCAGACACTGAGATCCCCAGAGCACAGCTTGGGCTCTTGTCCAGGGCCAGGAGGGAATGCGAGGAAGGGTTTAAGACAAATCAGAACTGGAGAACCGAAGGCTCCAGGGAGACCTCAGACCTTCGGGTACTTCTGGTATTCTCTCTCCAGGAGAGCTGGAGAGGGACTTTGGGAAAGGGTCTGGAGGGACAGGACAAGAGGGAATGGCTTCCCACTGCCAGAGGCCAGGGTGAGATGGGAGACTGGGAAAGAATTCCTGGCTGTGAGGGTGGGGAGGCCCTGGCACAGGTTGCCCAGAGCAGCTGTGGCTGCCCCATCCCTAGAAGTGTCCAAGGCCAGGCTGGACGGGGCTTGGAGCAACCTGGGCTAGTGGAAGGTGTCCCTGCCCATGGCAGGGGGTGGAACAAGATGAGCTCTTAGATCTCTTCCAAGCCAAACCATCCTGTGACTCTAAAAATCAGAGCTGTTTCCCACCCGTGCCTGTTGCTCCAACCCTGGGATATTTGCTCCTGGCCCCCAGGCAATGGGGGGGTGTCCCTGCCCCACAGAGACACTCACGGGCAGGGGTGCAGGTTCTGGATCAACATCACAGCCAGGCCATTGGCCATCTTGTCCGTGAAGCTCATGGCACCATAGACGAACGCGCTGCTGTGCTGCAGGAGGAGAGGGAACCTCAGCGGGTGCCGTGCTGAGCTGAGCCGTGCCACACAACCCCGCACAGCCGGAGCCTTGTGCCCTCTCATGGGCAGAGCCCACACTGCAGCACAGCCCAGCACAGGCTCACTGCTGCCATCCCCGGTCCATCCCCCGCAGGAGCAGCCCTACCGTGTTGGTGCCGATGAGATCCGCTGTCATGGACAGGGAGGTGACCAGGATGGTGGCAGAGCCAGCCCCCAGCAGCACGGCTGCTCCGTAGACCTCAGCTCCCATCGGCTTGGCCAGAGTCACCCAGGAGGCGAAGGCCAGGACCACCAGGATGCCCACGAAGTAGGTCAGCTGGGACAGAGAGGGGCAGAGGGACAAGGGGGAGTTCAGACACCAGTTTGGCACCACGGGCAAGCAGAGAGGGCACAGGGGCCAGCAGTACCCAGGACCTACGAGGGACAGCCCTGGCTCTGTCCCAGCTGGATTTAAACAAGGAGCCCCCAAGAGCACCACCTTGCCATGGTCTGGGCTGTTCTGCAGCCAGAGAGCTGAGCCCTGGGGAGAGCTGTGGGCACAGTGTCCCTGAGTTCAGGGGACACTCCACTGGCACCCAGCAGCATGAAGGGGACAAAGTGGGGGGGCAGCTCCCTCCTGCTGGCACTGCAG